GGACAGACAGATGAAGGATGGAGACGTGTCTTTGATTCTGAACAATGTGACGATTAATGACACTGGAACATACCAATGCCATGTCTTTACAACAAAAACTCAAAGGAAGAGAGAAAATCACAGTGTTGTCACCATCATCTCCCTGAGTGTTGTTCCTCCAGGTGAGTGAGTAGAGTTGAGTGTGTGTGTGATCAGAGGTGAAGCTGCTTCCTGGTTGTTGATGTTTGTTTGTAAAGATGTTGTTGATGAGACTTTGTAGAAAGCAGCTGGTCTGAGTGATGTGATCAGAGTGCAGTAGATAATGTCTGACAGCAGTTTGAAGAGGAAATGGATTCTGTTCTGTTCTTCACTCATCACCTACCTGACAGCTGACACCTCACACCTGTTTCTCACCTGCAGGACACACAGAGGATGGATCTGTTGGACTCATCGTTGGTCTGCCACTTTCTACTGTGCTTGTTGCTGTTGTTGTTGTTGTTGTTTTGATCTACAGAAAACAACAACAACAACATAGTCAGCATTCATACCAGCCTCCTGTTGGACTGCAGCAAGTTTGAAACACTGCTGTTCCAGGCTTGATGTTTTTCACTCGGCATGGGTCAAGACATTATCTGACGATGTACAGAAATAAATGTTACTTCATATCATTACCGTAAAACATTGATAAACAGGCGATGAACCAGACAAAGTACAAAAACCAGAAACTGTTTCCTATTTGTTCCCATGCTGTTTAAAAAATTGAAATCAGATCCATGGATTAAAATGTGCTAGGGGTGGGATTTCTCTTTCCTAAACTCAGGGTTATAAACTGTTTGACACGACTGGTCAAAGGATCTGAACTCTTATATATGTACACGTTACCTCAAACAATCCGATGCAGTCTCACAGCACTTTATGAAACTGTCACAACATCTAATCATGATTCATTTCCCAGAACACTAATATTTTAAAGAGTCCATATCCTTAGGTTGGAAGGGCTGGTGGTGGAACAAATCATTTCATCAGTAATTTCAGTTTTTAATATTAAATAAAAAGGCGTTCCTTTAGGCAAGCTGCTGGGTCAGAGATGGAAGATGATGCCAGTTGGCTCTCTTTCAAAGTCAGAGTTTTAAGTCTTTATTCTCAATGTTGGGAAGCATTCATGTAACAGTGTTTTGCAGGTTACCTCTGTGGTGGCCATCTTGTTTTCCCAGTAAAGAGAAAGCCTGCCTCAATGGCAGCTCTTTTATAGGCCAGTCTGTATTAAGAAGGCGTGTCTTTGGAGTATTTAAAGGGAGCAGGAAATGGATTGTGCCATCTTGAGAAGTTGTTGTCTGCATGTGCATGATGTTGGCAAGAGACAATAAAACAATTACTTTAATTAAGATAAAGTGAAGTCTGATGTTTCCTTCACCGCCCCTCACTGCGTAACACTCACCAAAGAGTTTGACAAAAAGATGTGTCACTGAACACAAACACTGGTTTTGTGACTGTTTCTTGTGTCCTATGAGACCGGGCTGACTGTTTAATATACACCACAGTGTTGTTTAGTCCTAAAGGTGTGATTTGTTTTCTGCTTTAAATCTGTGCCCTTACTTTTATCTATGAAGTATTTTTACAAAGTGAACAAAACTTTACATTTTCTAAGTTAATTATTTAATTTGTACATAATAACTGAAGTTAATGTAACACAAACCCACAAACAAACCATCTCAACAAAGCTAACTATAGGTAACTATTTTTTAAAGTAACTATATATATTTATTTATGGTCAGTTTTCTGGAGGAAGGTGCCAAGAGTGGTAGGAAAGTTGTTTTTTTTTTTAAGTATGTCTTGATTGTACTTACAGACCAGGTTCTCTTAAATATTATTTTCTCTGTTACCTTATTTCTGTTGTCTTTGTATAACACACTGATCACCTCATGCACAGTTTTTCTTTCATCACCTCATGTCCAGCCGGTCATGGCAGATGACCACCCCTCCCTGAGGCTGGTTCTGCTGGAAGTTTCTTCCTGTTAAAAAGGAGTTTTTCCTTCCCACTGTCGCCAAGTGCTTGCTTATAGGGGGTTGTTTGATTGTTGGGGTTTTCTCTGTGTTATTATGGAGTCTTTACCTTACAATATAAAGCACCTTATATAGCACACTTGTGATTTGGTGCTATATTAAAAAAACTAAATTCATGACTGATTGTCTGAACTCACAGGGCTTGACTGAAATGGGGTGTAGCTCAGAGCAGAACTGTTCCCCCATCTGTTAGATTCAGTTTTGGATTGCTGTCTTTAAGTCAGCCTGGTTGATTTTCTTTTGTTCTTTTGTTTCATTCTTTTTCATAGTTTGAATTTCCTTCGAGTTGTCTGACAAATCTCCTCTGTAAATATCACACATTAATCCAGTCATGTGAAGAAAAATGAAATATCTTTTTAAAAATCAAAGGCTGTTTAACAAACTTTGATCTCCGCCAGTGGCGGTCCTAGCCTGTTTCTCTGTATCTATGAAGCGCCTTGAGGCGACATTTGTTGTGATTTGGCGCTATATAAATAAAATTGAATTGAATTGAATTGTTTGGCTCCGTGGGCAAACACTCCCTCTCCCTGGGCAAAGTCCTTGCCGTTTTGTGTCCGTGTGTGTTTTTGTCTCTCCCTCGGCCCCTCTGTCTCCCTGGGTTTATGTTTCCAAGGAGGTGCACACATCCGGAAGCAAATACCATAAGGTGTCAGTGATAATCTGAGCAGGAATAATATATTTATTGGTCTCAAACTAATATAAGGCCAGTTTTGTATCCATGAATATCATTAGTCAACATGGCCTCCCTCTGGGTTTTCCTCTTTCAGCGTTCCATGTACTCTTGAGCAACAATCATAGTGCTTATCTGGCGTCTTCATTATTTTTACCCTGACATGCTTTACAGTTATGTAAAGCATGTCAGGGTTAAAATAATGAAGACGCCAGGGACAGTATGGCCTGGGACAAACATCTAGTCTGTCCTGTTGTTGGTCTGTAAGCAGCCATGGAGAAGAGGGAAGTTGAAGTAAAGTAACACAGAGAGCAGTGAAGAGAAACCAAGTGTTAGAAACAATGAAGCGTCCACTGCAGTTGCTGCCACTGCTTTTTATAAATATTGATCTATTAAGTTGTTGTTTTGTTTGTTTTTTCCTGATCAGTTGTTCCACTCTCTCCTTTGGTTCCATTTAAAGATCTTCAGTATATTTCAAATATATCCGATAACCTAAATATAATCTCCAAATCTAAAGGTATGAAAAAGCATGAGGGTGCTTATTGAGCCACTGCGGAAAGTCCCCAATGCTCACTGTGTGTTATAGCTCAAATGTTGTGGAGGAGTGGTTCTCGCTGCCACACCCAGTCGTCCTGGAACGAAGCGTCTGAGCAGAGCACATAAAACAACAACCACAGGTGTAGATCATGAGCTCA